GCAGCCAGGAGAGTTGTCTGGAAACCATGACACATGCAGAAAGAGCTGAATAAACTGGGGATAGGTACCATAGAGAAGAACTGACAATAAAGAGAAATAATTTTTAGAGTCTGAATGGACTGCAGAAATAACTTATATAATCTCAATATTTTTCGGATAAAGGAAAAGAAGCTTATGATGACCATTTTCAAGTATTTCTAAGGCTGCTAAATATAAGAAAAACAGATTTGTCCTATTTTTCCAGAGAGCAGAACTAGGACCGAAATGTAGAAGGGTAGAGATTTTGGTTCAACACAGTAATGAAATCCTGAGCTCCCTCCTCTTTCTGCCTTCCTCCCATCTCCCCACTCCTCCTCGCTTCTGGGCTCTGAAGATATTCTGGTAGAGGCTGGACAGCAGCCTCCAGGGATGCCAAATCCTGGCCACCAACTTTTACCCATCCTCCAGGTATAATCTCATCAGGAGGCCTTCTGTGGGCAGCCTGACTAAGCATTTCTGCTTCAGTGTTCTCGTCAAATGGTGAGGCTCTCTCTGTTACGGAATTATCACTTGTATGATGTTCTGTTTCCGTGTTTCTCCCCAACTAGCCCCCTAACGTCAGGGACTCTTTGTATCCTCAATGCCCAACATAGTTTTTGGAACACAGTAGGTGCTCACTAAAGGTTTATTGAGTTGAATTTCTATCAGGTAGAAGGCTGACTGAATGAGTAATCTCCTTCCAAGAGAAAAAGCTAAGGGCCCCTGCATACAACCAACTGCAGAGCTGAGACCACCAGCAAGTTCCATCAGCTTTCTCTCCTCTAGGTGGAATTTTCCTCCTTGAAGGCCATTTGTTCCCAGCCTCAGCCTGACCCCAACTTGTCCTGATGCGAGTCCCACAGATTTATAGTTGGTATTCCATTCCTTACTCAGGTTAATTACACAGATTTAAATTTCAGGTGCTTTGAGCAAACTTTGATTGTAATTATAGAGTCAGAGACTTAAAAGAAAGACCATAACTCTGGCCCATTTTTCATAAAGTTCCCTGTTTAGAGTACTTTCTTGGTGTCATTTCTAGTACTGTCCAACGTGGGTATGCCCACCCCAGGGGATGCCCAAGATGATCCATTGATAACAGAGAGGAAAATTCTCTGTATATAAATATGCACACGTGTATATGTATTATATGCACACATATTTGATTAACCCAATAAAAACACATGAAGTTTACCTAGACTTTCACTAGTAGAATGAGGCTGGAGTCCCACTCGGACCACACAGCAGATGGGGTGGTAGAGAGCGTTCCTCGGGGAAGGTGGGAGCAGCACAATGTAGAGGGGCAGTCTGTGGCTCATTTGTTCAGTTGCTTTCAGCGTATTTCAAATTATTGCTCTTTTCATGTGCCCAATGAAATGGATTTATGTATTATCTAGTTTAAACTAACCTTCACAAAGAGACACATGGCTTAACAAGTTTCCTCAAAGAAACTGCAGTTTGAAGATAATACTAATCACGAAAGCACAAGGGAACTTTGAACTCTTTGTCAGCCACATGACAGAGTGAAGAAACAATGACAATCTAATCAGATCTGTCAAGGAACCAGGCCAAAAAAATAATTGGAAATTATCGAGAAGACTATTTGAAATATGGAACCACAACTTCTAATGAAAAAGCTAAACTTTAGGCTAAGGGCACACTGACTTTAGAGATTATTAGCCAGTGATAGCAGAACATGTATATAATTTATAAACTAATACATATGCATTTATGGGGGTTTCAAGTTCAAAAATATTTTATTGAGAGAGTGCATAATCAAAAGAGTTTGGAGACCACTGGCCTGTTCTTGCTTCTACAAATATTTTTTGTTTCTTTCTGATCATTCTGATTAATTGTAGAAAACTTGAAATGCACGGAAGCATCAAAAACAAGAAAAAATTATCCATATTCTTACCACCACAAAATAAACATTATTTGCATTTGGAGAAGTGTCTCTTCTATCATAACCATTTCATATAAAATGTCTTTCATAGAAGGAGGCTGAACCTCTAGGAGAAAACCTTACAGAATATCATGTTCCATTATGGGTCGCTTTGTCTGGTCTCCACGGAGACTAAGAAGGTATGTCAGGAATGAAGCTACAGTCCTGGTTTTCAACATTTGCCTGATATATTTGGGCTAAGTTTCACTGTTAGTGGAGGTGTCCTATGACCTCATCCCAGGTTATACTGTGGGCACCATATATACCATTATTATTGAGTAAAAGGAGACTGTAAAAGGTGCAGCAACTCCTGTACTATCTTAATGTTTAAATTAATTAGCCCATCTCAGCCATCAGTGATATGGCTAAGGAGTCATGCTTAGATTCCCCAGATGTCAGGAGAGCAGGCCTGCTCGGGTTGTCAGTAATCCCCAGGAATTCCGAATATGTCTATCAAATTCCTTCCTGTAGGGAAGGAAACCACAGCTGCAGGTCCTGCAATGGCAGCCCGTGCCCTGGCTTCTGTCAGCTCCGACAGGTCTCTCATTACAGAAGCCACCCTCCGTTTCACACTCTGAATCTTCTCTAGATGTTTGCCCTTCATCCCGACAGTGAAACACTAGCTGGTAGTTGAAATAATCTCATCACCCTCAAAAATAACTTCTGACGACCTGACTTGATGTAGAACTTTTCCATAGGTTTGGCAGGATTTCCATTTCTATCTAGATGAAATGCAGCATTTCCCCAAGTTTTGGGCCACACCCAAAACGGGGAACAAGACTCCTTCTAAAACCTGGATGTCACTGCCTAAACCAGAGGGTGCAGAATCAAATCACTATGTTTATCCCACTCATTGTATTAGGCCTTCACACTATGTCCCCCGCCCTTGCTCGGCTGCAAAGCAAGCTGTCCGAGTTGTTGTCTGGTATTCAGGGCGGGAGGGGGAACTTTGGGAAAAGAGAAAGGCTGGAGAATGCAAATCCTACAATTTAAATATCAAGCTCCCCTACTGCACCATTTAAATAGGAACCAATTTTAAAGTATTTGGTTCAGGGTCAGCTTTTTGTTTTAAGGATATTTTTTGCATACACTTTGGGTTGTTTTTCAGGAGTAGAAATGGATTTTCCCACAATCACTGCAGGCAAACACCCCTAGCGATGCCCCCAGCTGATGTCAGGAGTGCAGGCCATGGCAAAGTGAAACCAACTGACCCATTCTCAAACAAACCAGGAACCCTGACCTCAAAACCACCGCCATCTAATCAATTAAAACTTTAACATCCAACTCCTCAGATTGTTTCCTTCCCCTTGAGCAGTTTTTGATGTGGACCTGGAATGACAGGGGAGTAAATAAGGAATACAACAGCATTCCTGCTAACATAACTTCCCCATGGATGTATTTACTCTGGGTGGGTAAAGTAGAGCCAGGATGGATAGTGGGAATGCCTGGGGCCTCCATCACTGCAGTTAAATGTAACCGCTACCTGTCTTTGTGATTACCAAAGAACTCCCAATTACCAAAGAACAATAATTCACATCCTCTTTCCTTCTTTATTGCCTTCGTCAGCCCACCTTTATGCAGTGAATCCCCACCACATTCCCTCTTCACTACATGCCAATATCGCTAATTTTCCACTGGCATTTTAACTGGTCTTTCAATATATATTTTAACGCTACTTGTATTAAATCTACAACTTGTTATACTACTTATAAATAAATTCTTCTAAAGTTATGGAATAAGTTGGAAGGATAATCGAGATCTAGATTTAAAGACTTATCTTTTCCTTTGTTCCAGCAACAGCCCAGAAGGTACCTTTTAGAAGACGAGATCTTTATGCAAGAAATTGCAGTGGCTTCCAGGGAGGCAGGGGTGGAGGTGTTTATAAGAAGAGAAGGGTCATAAGACAGCGAGGGATAGAAGGACTGCCTTAGGACTGCTTTTCTTAACATTTCCGATTTTCGATACAAAACATCTTGGTCTCAGGATTGAAGAAAAGGGCAGCTGCTGCCAGGACAGTGTTCTGGTCCTCCACGGGTTTGGGATTGGGATAGTGGAGCTTTCAACGCTAAAAAAAAACACCTCATTTTCCTTCCAAACCAGTTCCATGGACGTTTCCACAGATACTGTTGGGAAGATTAGTCCCAGACACTCAGAAGTCACAACTCAGAGGAGATGGCTGGAATGCTAAAGAAAGTTTAAAAAAATGGTGGATGGAGAATTGCCTTTCCCTTACACCACATCAGCCAGCTGCAAAGAGAAGACTGCCTTTAATTTAACCCTTCGCCGTCCCTGAAAAGGACAATGCGCTTTAGGTGCTAGATAATCTTTATACCCCAGAAACTCTACTGGCCTGGCTTTAATTATTGATTCATAACGGAAAATAATAAAAGGTAGATATTATGTGGGGCAGGCATGTCACCAAGGGGACATAAATATACCAGAACACCCAGTGTGGACCTTCCCAGAAGGAACTGATGAACCTATGAGATGAACCAACACATGGCCTTCGCACAGACTGACTTTTAATGAGCATAAAGCAAACTGAGGATACAGGTCTTCCTTCTTGTGGCTCCTGACTCCCTGGCTGCTGTGTGATTTCATCTAATCCCTGATCTACAGTCATCAGCTGAGGAGGCTTCCTAAGTTTAACACCTCCCTACTCATGAAGCTATAGAATCCAACGACTCTACCTCCATCACCAAACAGGCAACTCCACGGTCTTTCAGGAACCAAAGCACCAATGAATACCAACAAAACCTTCTCAATGAAGTCATCCCTGGACAGAAAGTGGAAGAGAGGAGCTCTGCTTGGTAGTAGGGGTGAGAGGGACAGAAGGAATATGACATGGTGGAATGTGAATTTGTTAATTTCTAAAAATGTATCCTTGATGCATAATCCCCTCTAATTCCCTCAGGCTACTGCCCAACACTCCTTTCCCAGGTCCTGGGGCAGTGCCCTGGCCAGGAAGCAGGCACTCTGCAGGCCTCCTCAGCACTCTCCATGATCCCCCCTACCTCCCACCACACTCCTCCCCAACCTCTACCTCAATGGTATACTGCTCAAAGATGCGCAGCTGCAGGAAGATGTCCAGCTTGATCTTCCGCTCGTGGAACAGCTCCTCCATCTGCACCTGGGCGTCGTCCAGCTGCTGCAGGACTGATTCAATGTGGCTGATGGAGCTACTGTGGGGCGTCTTGTTGTTGGACACAGCCGAGTCCCTGTGGCAGAGTGGGAGAAAAGAGGGGAGGGGCCTGGCCATGTTAAAAGTGACAGAGGAGCAGGGGGCCTTCCTCATCTGAGCAAGGCAGATGTGAATCAGTTGAGTCATTCAATCGACAGACGTTTATCAGACTCCTACTGTGAGCCTGGCACTATCTGCTCGGTAGGCGAACCAAAGACACATGCATCCTCTTTGGGGTTCACAGCATGGTAGCTCTGAGACTAGCTGCTCTCCTATTCCTTAGACAAGTTTGGGAAAGGGGTCAAATGAAATAACATATGGGAAAGAGCTCTACAAAGCATAAAATATTAGAGAAATGGAATAGTTCCATACACATACTTAGTCTAATACGCGTAGTTTTAATACACACACATACACATGCATAAGACTAGACACATTAATCACAACGAATAAGAGCAGACAAATTAGAGGCATGTAAAAAAAACCCTTCCTAGTTCTACCTCACAGGATCATTGTTAAAATGAGATCACAGCTGCCAAAATTATTCATCCACTTTATAATACTATGCCCAAGTTATGGGCTGGTGTTATTACACAGGCTTCAAGTTGTAGTTAGGAAAGCATGGGACCTGGAGGCTGCAAGCCCAGATTAAGTCCTTGCTCTGACATACACGCCTGGTGCCCTTGGGAAATTGCCTCCCTGAGCCCCAGTTGCCTCCTAGAAAATGGACTTAAGAATCCCTGCCCTGCTCACTTCACGGTTTGCTGTTAAATAAGATGGTGCGTGTGAACGTGCTCTGTAAGCAGGAACGTGTTGTACAAATGACTGTTAATCCTGAAAGGACACAAGTGAAGTGTCAAGTGTGACTGGGGCACAGGCACAGTTGGGGAGCGTAGAAGGTAGGACACAAGAGGCTGGGACAACAACAATGTTTCAAGAGGATGAGTTCTGATTTGGGCATTGAAGAAAAGGATGAATCCAGCCAAGGAGACGGGAGGGGTGCGTTTTCCGAGCAGGGAGTCCATTCAAAAGTAGCAGGGGGAGGTGACACGTTATAGAGGGGAATCAAGAGATAAACATATTGACCTGCTCAGAAGAGTGACGTGTGGTGACACCTCCAAAGAGATCATCATAGCAGGAAAACTGTGGAGATTAAGAAGTTTAGATTCTAGAGGACCTTGAGTAAGCTAGAGCCCCAAACTTGAAATAAACAGGCATATTCATTATCTTGTGATGTCTTGGTTTCTTATACAATTTAAGTCAGAGGACAAGGGGAAAATCATTAGTTTTGAATCCTCTCATCAGCAGGCTTTTTGAAAATCGGTCCTTTTAGCCTGCGTTTTTCTCAGAAGTAATAGCATCTGAGCTCACACTGTCTGTTTCTGAAGGGAGCTTAAGGCCAGTTTGTCAAGAGCCTCTCCTGTCACTCAGAAAGCTCCCAGTCCCTACCTTCTCCCCCTGGTCTATTTGGGTATGAAACCCCACTGCATGGATGCCCCAAATTATGAAAAGAACAGAAGACGTGTAGTCAACACTATGCTTTAGGCATCTGTTGAGGACTTTGCTGCTGGGAGGATATCATTCTTTTTGATTGCTCCTCTCAGTCTTTCTCTATCACACAGCTTTCAGAGGAAGAGAATGATTTCTGACCATTTTGTACGGCACCTATGTCAGTGTCATCCTCCCTAGGAATCACAGAGATGATGCAAAAACTGCTGAGGAACTTCAGTGCTGAGTGCTCCAAGAGTCGTGGAGACCTGGAGAAGATGTGTGCTCCGGTGCGTGTCAGGCATCCTGCAAGTGCCCACTAGGCACCATGTACTTATTTTTCTCTTTGGCTGCTCTTGATATCAGGGAGGAGAGTCTGGGCTGGAGCCAGGCTAGTGGGGGAATGAATGGTCAGCAGTGGTTCTTGGTCACACGCCTATGGTCCCCTGTGAAATCCATGGCACTTAAACTTGTAGAACAGGCATCAGGCACATCACTGCCTTCACCATCCCTGAGCAGCCTGCAGCCTGTAGGCATTGTGCAAGGTTGGCTGTTGGTAAGAGCAAGTGGCATCTCCATAGACCCAGCCCCACAGAGAGTGAAGCCAGCCAAGCTTGTTAAAGTATTTGGAGAGAAAACACAAAGCCATCACAAAATTCTAGAGCTGACAGAGCTCCTAGAGTGAATTCCTTAATTACACAGGCGAAGCAGCTGAGGCCCAGAGAGGTTAAGTGATTGCCACTATTTGGAATTTTCTTCAGAAGCAAATAACAGTGGAGTTTCCCAGGTAGGCAGACAAAACTGTCATGTATTATATATTCATGAAGATGAATTGGGTGAAGAAGGGAAAGAGGCTATCTTGTTAGTATGCAACAGGAGGACTCAGAACATCTCAGGTGCATGTTTGGAATAGAAATGATTAATTTCCAACAGAAACACATGCCAGGGCCGTCTAAAGGTAAGTTCTCATTGTTTATTTAATTGGACAACTGGTGTGGGGGGAAAAAAGCCCTCTCAGCTCAAATAATTCCGTCAGGCCCCAGGGTTGGCCTGGGACTTGTTGATGAGATTATTTCTGTCCGGAGCTGGCAGAGGTCCCAGCACTCAGTGATTTTGGGATAGGAACAAGTCCCTGAGGGCAGACATCATTAGCACCATCAAATCCTATTTATACAGCACCTGGGCACAGGGCTGGTTGCTGAGGGCTTGCTCAAGGCCTCATGACACTTGATCTGAGGAGCCAATGCCCTTGACAGGCACAGAAAACTAGATATTGATGCCAACAGAAAGGAGGTGATGGTGTGGATGATTCTAAATGAATATAAGGTTTAGACAGGTTTTCCTTCTCAGTTACATTAGTTTAGGTTCATACCGAAGGAGTTTTATTTCCTGGGCAGCAAGGAACGGTAGGAAAGGTCACGAGTGGGTAATAGAGTAGAATGGGACAACATCACACACTCTTTACATTCTCATGGGGCCAAAGCCAACCATTTTTGGCTGCCGACTGGGGCCATGGAGTTCAGAGTTCATCCTGAGATCAGACGCCAAATATAGTCATGCACACATAATGACAGACTGCATATATGATAGTGGTCCCATAAGATCGGTACCATTTAGCCTAGGTGTGTAGCAGGCTATATCATCTAGGTTTGTGTAAGTACACTCTATGATGTTTGCACAATGAGGAAATTGCCTAATGACACATTTCTCAGAACATATCCCCATCATTAAGTGACACATGACTGTAACACTGTATTCCAGAATGGCTATTTCTCCACGTGACCAAATATGCCATAATTCTTAATGAAAATGTTATTTATCTTTTGTTGAATGTTGTTAATTTTTGTATACATTACTTATTGATTGCTGAATATCATCATGAATGATAAAAAATGCTTTGGAACTTTTGAGATTTTCCATTTACTATTTCAATCTAAACTTAAGTTGAGTATGAGGCAGGCATTTTTATATCTGACAGATGGAGAAACTGAAGCTCACACAAGACCACAAAGCTGGTTGTGGCTGAGCCAAGACTGGGACATGACTTATCTCGTGTCTAGTCCAAGGCATTTCCCACTGGAAAGCACTGCCCATGCTGACCTGGCCTCGCTGGGCTCCCCCAGGGAGGGAGACGCTGACCTGAGCTGCTGAATAAGGTCTTCGCCTTCCTTGATAACGTTGAGCGTTGCATCCAGAGTGGCGGTCTGCTGCTGCTGGAACTGCTTGATCAGTTCCTGGACCGCATCCACTGAGTCTGCACAGACATCCTCTAGCATCTCCTTCTGAAGGTCTTCCATCCATGTCCACAACTGTTGGGGAGAGAGCAGAGACTCCACTCAGGGCAGATAGGAGAGGCCAGGGCTGGGGTAAGGACAAGAGAGTCAGATTGGGGTGACCCAACCTACCATCAACCAGTCAGTGCAATGTCAGACTGTCCTTCTCATCAGCACATCTATGGGTCAGTTCATGTTCCCATATTTATATTCATTACTCATCTCTGCTAGGTTTACTCCACTAGGGTCAACATTCCCTATGGATGGGAACCATCCTTGGCTTAACTTCCTTGTTGTTTAGGGAAACTTTTAGTCTTAGAACAGGGAGATCATTCATCTTGGGAGACTAGGATGAACAGGAGACTGGTGATGGGCAGATATTTCATCTTTCAGAAAGGAGGGCTCTGCACACTTCTTCCAGGCAGCTGGACACTGATTCCTAGAGATGTATCATGATTTTGCAAATATGCAAAAAAGAATGTGATGCTCAACAAGAACAAAATAAGATTAATTAAGAAAATACGTGTTATGCTAAATTATTTTGTTCTTTTCAGGATTGCTAGGTTGGTTAGAAAGTTGAATGCTAAAAATGTAGCTTATCTTAATTTCAATATAAGTATGAGATAGTCCTCCACGACATTCAAGATGATGAAATGCAGTCAGGATGATATTACTGGTCAGACAACTTAAAAGAACTAAGTATAGTGTTTTGAACAGAATAAGCACTTGAAACGAGGAGTCGAATTGAATTACTAGAAATTCATTTATTGCTAGTTCTTCCTCATACTGAAGATAGGTCTCCACTGGCTTGCCACCATATTCCATTTATGATTACCCTTATTGAGCATTTTCATAAATGATGGAGGGAAAGATGAGTCTGATATTTGCTTAGAAACCAGGAATCTTCACCTGGCTGGAAGAAAAGATAAGCTTAGGGCTCTACCAGGACAAAAGCCAGTACAGAGCGAAAATTGATAGAGTCAGAAGGTGTAGATTTTGGCTCCTCTTCTTCCCATAACTCATGGTACCTTTGAGCAAATCACTATACCCTTTGATCTCCATGACTTCATGTGTAAACAGGTTGGGGAAAACATAAAATAAAATGGTTAGTTCCCGTCTGGTTCTAACATTCTTTAAGTCTTCCACGTTAAAAACATGGATAAATATCCACCTCGAGAATATCACGTCAGCTAGTTGGTTCTCAGTATGGTAAATCATGGTATGGTCTTTACAACAAGAGATAAGAAAAGAAACAATAAAGAGAGATAAAAATAGTCTTCAGATTTCAGACAAGTTGTTCTTTGTTCTTTAGACAGGAGAGGCCCCTAATGTGCAGAAGAGGTTGGGTTAACAAGAGTAACAAGCCCTGGAGGTAGCAAATAAGGGGGGAGGATATAAGGAATGCCCCCTTGGACAGGTGAGAATCTCTCTGAGCCTCAGTCTCCTAATCTACAAAATGAGAATAAGAACTGCCCTGCTCACTTCAAGGATTATGAGGATGGAATGATTTACTTATTATTAATGCTCTAAACAAACATACAGCATTATTAATAAGCTTACAGCATCGTGATGACTGTTAGATGGAATACAAATTATTACTACTCAGTGTCCCTATCATTTAGCAGCTTGTAATCTGTTGTAAGCAGTTCAGCTTTTTTTTTTACAACTAAGTTTTTTGTTATAAAAACATAAAACAAGTTTTCCAGACCATATAAACTGGGACACATATTCCTACAAGTATGAATTGTACTTATTTCAAATCACTATTAAACCAGGAAGTTCAGGATATTGGTTACTATAGCTTAATGTCATTTCATCCTTTCTGGCTGTAGTTTTGTCTAGAAAGTAAAACCATCTTCCAAGTGTGCTGAATTCCCTGGTTAAGAGATAATGAATTCTTGAGCCAGCCCTGATGGCCTAGTAGTTAAAAAGTTCACCACACTCTGCTTTGGTGGCCTAAGGTTTGGTTCCTGGTTGCAGAACCACATCACTCGTCTGTCAGTAGCCGTGCTGTGGTGGCAGCTCACAAGGAAGAACTAGAAGGACTTACAACTAGAATATACAACTATGTACTGGGGCTTTTGGGAGAAAAAAAAATGAGAGAGGAAGATTGGCAACAGATATTAGCTCAGGCTGAATCTTTCCCAGCAAAACAATAAAAAGAGAAAGAATGGATTCTCAAAAATTATTGCAGAAAGAGGCAATATAGCATAGTAGTTAAGAGTTTCAAACCCCAGTTCTACCACATATTAGCTATATAATCTTGGGTAAGTAACCTACTCTCTCTGCACGTCAGTTTTCCTTATCAGTAAAATGAGGATAATAATAGTGCTTACCCCCACGGAGTTGTAAAGATTACTAAGTTGATATATATATATATGCATGTATACACACAAAAATAAGTTATATATATACATACACATACATACACACATATGGCACTTACTACATGCCAGGCACTGTTTCTAAGTGATATATATACCGAGTGCCTGATATATATAACAGTGCCTGGCATACAGTAAGTGCTAGCTATTATTATATTTCAAAGATATTTTTGATGCAAGCCATCTCTAGTTCCCACTAGAAGGCAGAGGGATAGTTTGAAGTACCCCTTCATTTTGGAATTGGTAAAATATCAACACTGGATTTGGTCCTTCAATATGCTAGGTTGGGCTGGGCTTCTCCTTTCTGATTTTGCAGCTTTGTCTTGGGATGTCTAAGGGAAACCTAGAGACAGGAAAATCGAGACATTTCTGGGGGAAAAAACGCAAAGCGAAGAAAAGACGACGTGAAGAGAGAGAGATGGAAATTGTGGACATGGAGCAGATCATCTAAATAAACTCGATGTCTCGTGGGGGACAGACATTGGGACCGAAGACTGAGTAGGGTAAGGCTGGCACTCGCTGTTACAGGAATAAGAGTGATAGGTGACAGGCTTACAGGTATCTTGAGGATTTTACTGTATTCAAGATAATTTTGTTCTCAGTACCATCCCGAAGCTATGTTAATGGCTTCATAGCTTGGAGGTCCTTTTTTTCTCCTTAATAAAAACTTGTGGAGGTCTAGGGAAGAAAGTCGGCATCATTCCTTTCTGAGGAAACCCACCTGGCTCACCACACTCCCTCCTCATGCAGCTACACTGCAGGGACAGTCAAAGACAAAAACCGCCAAACAAAAATGACGGGTCAGTGGTACAAACAAAAAGACTAGGGCATCCAAGGAGACACACTGGCCTCTGAAGTCACTCTCATTAGAAAACGTGTCCTCCCCCCAAATATTCTGTGATTAGTGAACTGAAACTGAGTTCTCAAATTTCTGTTCATATATGCTACTGAACTATAAGAAACTCTTGTCTAAGGTAGAGTTAAAACCTACTGCTAAGGCAAATCAGCTAAGAGAAAAACAACCAAGTATAACACTCGATGCAGCTCAGCCCAGGGGTCAGCAGCCAGATAAGGAAAGGAAGTGGTGGTCTACCTTCAAGAGGATAAAATGCCAACTAAAACTGCCAGTGACGGAAGCAAATTTGTCCCAGATAGGGAACGGGATTACAGCACCACAGACAAAGCGTTAGTGACATCTTTCTCTGATTTTCTTCCTGTAAAACCAAACAAATAAACCAACCAACAAGCAAAAAACCCAGAGGGAAAGGAATTCTTGAACTGAATTGACATTTACTGGGGACAATTCTTGATTCTGCCCTTATTTAGCTACTTCTGTGACCATGGGAAAACTATCTTACTTCAATTACCTCATATTTAAAATGAAATGCGTACATGTGTACATGTGTGGGGGGTTTCTCTAGCTTGTCTCTAAACTCCCTTGCAGCTGTTACATGCTATGGTTTCTCTTCAGAAGCTGAAGTAAAGAAGAGGGCAGCAACAGAAATGCCTCTCTACACTGAAAAACTGCAGTCACAGCTTTGACACCAAGACATCCAAAGTCCAGAGAGTTTAGCACCAGTTTGAGGATAACAAGTTAAGATACTATTAATAACATGGAAAGCTTGAGTAGCGAGCCACTTGAAATCCCATGAGACCACATGCACACAGTCACCTCCTGGTGGCAGCAAATTTAAATTGCAGGCTCATAATTTTGAATAAGCACCTTGGAGGCAAAAGTGGACAGAAATAAACATTAGTGTCATTAAACTATGAGTAAGGGTCAATATTCCATTTCTTAGGCTGTAACTTGCCTACTATCTGAATGTCTTGTAGGTTTCCTTCCATGTACGTGCCCAAATGACTTACTCCTGAAGAGCATGCCTACACTGCTTTGAAAAGAATCCAAATCAGAGAGCCACTTCTATTACTAATTTATTAATTATCAGGCAGTCAATGAGACCCAGTCAGAATGATCTCTCACTTCAGGCTACCACAAGCCAATAATGGCCTAGTAGGTAAAATCGTGAGTGAATAAGGTAGTTTTGTAGCAGAACTACATGTTTTTTTCTTCTGTTCTTCATTTTGGTTTCTCTCCCTAGGATAAACCTCTTTACCCTCTGCTTATCTAGAGTCTAACATGTTAGTACTGTACCTTCTCCATCAACCCACCTGCTCACCAGAAAGAATCTCATGTTTCAGCCATTTCTAGATCCTCTCTTCTTGATCAAACGCAGCTGTCCTGTGACCCATTCTTTCAGAGTTCTGCTCTCTGCTTGGCAATGATTACTTGGTCCATGCTGAAATACGCACTCACATGGCTTTATGTGCTCTTTCTCTCAGAGAATATACGTGGTTGTGGCCCAAAATACCTACATCCAAAAGAATGGGCCTAATTTGAGAATTTCTAGAACCTTGGCAGGGGTAAAGTGAAGGGAGCCTTTCAGTGCTCTGTGTAAGGTTAGTTTAGTAGTGAAACCAGTGAGTTCAGGCGGGGCCAGCCCGTGGACCCTATCCTGCTTGCAGACTGGGGCAGCCTGAGAAAGGAATAAATGAAAATGGTAGGAAAGGAGAGACAAGAGAGGGAGAAACCAGGAGGTGTGTAGAAATAATGAAGCTTATGAATGAGCGGTTGAGGAAAGAGGTAAGTTTACT